ACTTTCAAATAATTTTTAATCTTTGGCTACTATAAACCCTAAGAAGTAGCTAAAATTATAATTTTTGCTAGGGGTCTAAGTTCAGTATAGATTATGTCAGCCTCAAGAAGCCAGGGTTTAGGAGTTGGGCCTTAATAACTAGAATAGGGTTTTGGGTTTGGGGGTTTAGGGTTTGAGACCTTCATAATTAGAACAGGGTTTGGGGCCCACTAAACTATAGTTATAATAAAGAACCCCCAAAAACCTATTCTAATTATTAGGGCCCCTACATTATATAAACCTTACAGAAGTTTAGGATTTGGGTTATGTACAGCTTGCAGAAGCCCTGGTTTGGTTTAGGGTGTAGGGTTTAGGGTTTAGGGGTTTAGGGTAAGAAATTCCACAGAAATAGTGGTAGAGTAAGTCACCTTTGGCTTGTCTGGCGTATTGTAAGCCTCATTTATTCCAAGTTGATCTTCAGTTCCTCTAAGAAACTGGACAACTCGGAAGCCTGATAGAAGGTCCCTGCATGTGGCTTTCCTTGGTCGCCAGTTGTCAAGACAGTCGGTTCTAATCTAGCCTGAAAATATCTATAACGAAGAAATCGACCCCTAAACCCTAAACCCTAAACCACCCTAAACCCTAAACCCTGTAGTCACTGGGCCTTGCCTGCAACGGATTGAAGGCTAGAGAGTTTGCGGCTCGAGGGCTTTTCAAGCATGTTCGACAGCAGGCTACCAGAACTTACAGCGCTCTTGTGCAAGGTCCCGGTGCGTCCTCTACTGCGGCCTACAAAGTTTTCATATACGGCATTAGTTGGTTTGGATAACATAGAAGCCTAAATAATTGCCAACATTACTGTTGGGGTTTCTTATTATATGAATACTCTAAAGGAGCCCAAAACCCCATTCTAATTATCAAGGCCCCTACACCCTAAACCCTCAACCCTAAACCCTAAACCCTAAACCCCTAACCCTAAACCCCTACATTAAATGCTTCGGGCGCTGTGACTGGAAGTGTGCAGGACATTGACGGCTTGCGGACGATGGACGACTGCCAGGCAAAAGATCCCTTTTAGGGTTTATATGGTTTACAGCTTAGGGCTTAGAGTTTTTTTTTAATGGTTTAGGGTTTAGGGGTTATATGGTTTAGGGTTTAGGGTTTAGGGCTTATATGGCTTGGGGTTTAGGGTTTAGGGTTTATGTGATTTGAGGTTCAGGGTTTCCTTTTTATGTCCTCGTCGCGTTTGAGCACTTCTGGTCAGCGCCGCGCAGTCTAAGCCCTTCCTGCACCGTTTAGGGTTTAGGGTTTAGGGTTTAGGGTTTAGGGTTTAGGGTTTAGGGTTTAGGGTTTAGGGTTGAGGGCCTGGGTCTCCGGCCCTAAACCGTAAAGCCCAGACCCTGAATGATAAAGTTCCGACGTTGAACCAAGCCCTAAACCCCAAATCCCCAACCCAGCAATCCTGTAAACCCTATAGACCCTAAACCCATAAGCCCTAAACCCTATAAGCCCTAAACCCTATAAGCCCTAAGCTCTACAAGCCCTAAGCCCTAAAACCCTAAGCCCTAAAATCCTAAACCCTAAATCCTATAAACCCCAATCCCTCAACCCTTGAAGCACCCTGTAGAGCCCGATAAGCTTCCTAGATATGACACACAGCCCGAAACCCAAGGGCCTTAAAAGGAGGGCGCCGGGTTCGATATGCTTGGGTCTTGGGTTATGGTTTGGGGTTTGGGGTTCAGGGTTTAGGGGTTTAGGGGTTTAGGGTTTAGGGTTTAGGGTTTAAAGTTTAGGGTTTAGGGGTTCGGGTTTAGGGTTTAGAGTTTAGAGTCTTGGGATGCGGGGCTGAACTTGGGAGAAAGTCTGATTGACCGGCTTACCTCTTCTTGGAGGTTCACGGTTTAGGGTTTAGGGTTTAGTGCGGGTATGGAGTATAACTATAGTTCCCCTACTTATAACCCCACTTATAACTACCCATGAACTGCCAAGTAGGAGGTATGGCTGGGGAGGCTCTTTGCCCAGTTCTGTGCCGAGTTACGTGCACCCGCAGGCTAACGGCGGTTCATCTCCGACGCAAAAGCCGATCCGACTCACTTATACAGCGCATGAAAGACCACATTTATGAGGTTTTCTAGGCGCTTCCTAGCTATCGTGAGCAAATACGTAGGACTCCTCCTTTTTGCGTCTCAGGTCTCCGGCTTGGGCTGTTCGAGAGGCAATATGCCCTGATTGTAAACTAGGTATATGAAGTTTAAAAAGAGCCTTAACAAACTGCATCTAGGATAACAGCTTCTTTAGCCGGAGCGTCTACCTCCAAAAGCTAGATGCTGATGGCCTCACTTTCATAGGAGTTGTGCATATCAGAACGGTTCATACTCGCTATCAAAACACGAGTATCAACAAGAACATAGGACAATCATAGAATCATAGTTGCATTTTGCCCGCCAGGGGGTTCCAAGCCTGAAGCCCTTGCAACCCCGACACGGCCCCCGCGTAAAGGTTGTACGATACCTCTTTGGGGGTCTGTAGTCGAGCTTTGCGATCATTTAAAGCAGAAACCCATCTCGCTCATCCTCTTAAGTCGGAATCCCATGGCCTGGCCTAAATACCGAGCGAAGACTCTGAAACCAACGACCACAATCCGCCTGGCTGATACAGCGTAGCAAACCCTCAATCCATGGTTTACATTCCCTGACGAGAACTCCAAAGCCTAAATCCCTATGGCCTGCATCCCAAAACAAAGCTCGAAATCCCAAACCCCCTAAACCCATATATCCACAAACCCTAAACCCTAAACCCTAAACCCCTAAACCCTAAACCCTAAACCCTAATCCCTGTGTTCTCACTCCTGAAGCTCGGAACCTGTCGTCCCCTGCGCTCCTAATCTCCAAAGAGCCAAAAAACAAAAAACCCACTGCCCGTTCCGGGTTTAGGGGTTCAGGGGTTTAGG